ACATTAGGAAACAAAACTTCCAGAACACGGCCACACAGCCCGGAAGACCCACACCAGCCATCGTATTCCAACTGTGAAAGCCTTCGACAATACAATTAAGCATGTGTTTATGGAAGTGGATGGTTCTTCATATATGCTGTACCCTTCTGGCTGTTTTAAGTTGAAAAGGTATTTTAATTACACATGGGAACAAGCTGGTGATTGATAAAATTATTCCAGACTCTGGCAATATATCATCTGTTCTAATTAGCAGTGAAACATCTGAACAGCCCTGAGAAACAGTCCCATAATTGCTGTCTAAGGCATGAAAGCAATCATCAGATCACATTTTGTCCCCTTTAATGGGATTTGCTATATTTTAGTTTACCCAGCTGTGCCCTGGTAGAATAATTGTTTCCTATTTTTTTTTGCAGGAGCAACGTCTCCTTTCTCCACCTAGTAAATTGGAAGTTCCTCCAGTCATTCAGCTTGATTTGGATAACAACGCATATGCCATCACTGAATTCTTCAATGAGTTCTTCAGGCTTTTGGAGGAACTTCAGTCACATCTTTTGAATCCACAAATGACTAACAGAAAAAGTAATAATCAAGCTATTTTATGGGCAATGAGAAAATTGGGCCAAACGTGACAGGTCAATTTTCTGGCAGGTATGAAAAAAATTAAGAGTCTGGTAGCACCTTTTCCTAGATCAATCTAACCACTCTGTGCATCTGATGAAGTGAGTTGCAGCTCACAAAAGCTCATGCCTTTTAATGCTGGAAAAGGTGCTATCAGACTCCTCCTGATTTTTTGCCACCTTAGACTAACATGGCTCTCCTCCAATGTCTGGCAGATGTGTGAAAGTATATTACAATAAAGTAAGAGTTGGCAGCTTTGTTGATGGTGGGAGCCACACTTTTTTTAATGGCCTTTGAGTCATGGCCAGAGCCAACTTCTTTGGGTCTTGTTTCCTTTGCAAAGAGGCTGGGTGAATTTAAGGAGTGAAATGGGTGCCTTACAGTCGTTTAAGCCGTCTTTTTCCCTTAAGTCTCATTGAAATGGAAGACATTGGACATTTTGAGAGGTTTGGATTGGTACAAAGTAGAAAAAAATACCTTAAGACCCAAACCCTTAATGCCCCCACTCCCAAGAATAGACTGAAAAGCTCTAGCTCGGCCCATTCTGGAGGTGTTTGTGAGGTTGCAAAGAGGGGTACCAGGAGAATTGCATAGGGCACATGCACCACAGTTAGTTCAACAGTGGTGAAAAAAAGAATTTTGAATATAAATTTGTAGGTTAAAGGATAATACTGTAAGAATAATAGGAAAATTGCTTCAATTAGTCTATTGAAAGAAACTTGATTTATATAGTAAGAATGATTTGAATGGATGCCTACTCCTCACAATAATCTGCAATGCCCAGATCACCTAAGAGACTTTTAAAATGTAATTGCACAAAGAAGATGTCATTCAGAGGCAGCAACTCACCAGGATTTGTCACTAAAAAGAACAATCTGTAATGACTTTCAGATTCACACATTTCTTGCCTCTCTTCCCAGCTTTCCATATGAAGCAGAAGATTACACGTTTCTGTTCTTTTTCCTGAATGAGTAATATATTCAAGGATAGGGTTTTCCTTAGTGATATTGTGGATTTTGTTGCTTTCTTTCAAATTTGCTCCCATTCAGAGCTATCAGGATGTATGTACCATTGAGCACTTTTACAAGTGTTATTTAATGGTCAGAAACTGCTTTTTAAAAATACTTTATTACCATTTGGAAATTGCTGGAGCGCGCTTTCTTCCTGCTGTTGAGTTTTTCTTCTCTATATTGCACTCTGCAGTCTCACCTGAGCCAAAGATATATGTGAAGAGGATGCCTGGACCTTGTTTTTCAGAGAATGAACTAAGGACAAAGCTTCTAAAGAGTAAGTAGCTGGGCTGCTAAAGTAGGGTCACATATTATTCATCAATATACACTAAAACGTCTCCCGCTGATCCTGTTTAGACAGTGAATGCACGGTCCTGCTTCAACTGTTTTAGTTGCAATCCCAAAAGGAATGTACAATTCCCAAAGGGCAGAAATGCTCCCATGAGCAGTCTTTCCATGTGAGCTGTGAGATGTTTGGGCTGCAGACTGAAAAGTGGGACAGAAATGCAAATTTCTGCAAGATGCCGCTCCCCTTCCATCAGAAGCAAACTCCTTATTGGCTCCAGGCCATGGACTGGTGACCACATTGGCTGAGTTTGCTGCTCCCCATTCATGCAAGAAGCTACTTATGCAAATAGGCCTTTCTTTGTATGTGTAAAGCATGTTGATCTTTGTGTTTGCTAATTCTGAAAAAAAATCAGAAAAGGACCTCACACTGCTTTCCTGCTGAAAATCTGCTCCCCCAACACAAACAGCTGCTTGTCCAAGTGATACTGAAACCACACAAAATAGGGGGAGATGACGAACAGCAGCCCAAAGGAGGAGAAAAAAATGTTTTCACCACAGCAGTCCAAGTGCCTATTACTAACCCCCAGGGGTTTTGGTGTCCCCTGTTCTGTTTTTCCCTTGGCTTCCCCTCTTTGAATATATTCTCTGTGCTTCCAGGTCTTTCTGTATGAGTGATTGAAATGAATTCCCTGGTTTCCCTGTAAACTCTCTATTGCCTAAGCATCATCTGGGTCTTTGCCTTTATGGTAATTCCAGGGGAGAGATCAGAGGCGCTTAAGAGGGGTGGTGCAAATACCCATAGAGGACACTTTTGCAGCTCTCCCTGCTCCCTTCTGGATGGAAGGGCTTGTAATCTGCCCAGAAGAGAAGAGCCACCTGTATGCCACAAGATACCTAACTGTTGTACTTTTATGCAGATTTCAATTGCTAGACCTTGGGAGTCCAAGTTTATTGAATAGCCCTGGTACAAGCAAATATGCATCTGTGGGATTGTCTCTTCCATCTGACTACAACATTTCCTTGCTTATGGGTACTGTAGGAGGGTTGGATATTTTCCTATAAATTGGAAAAATGCAAAATCACTTAATTCGCTGATAGATGGATCCTATATGTAAGTTCTGCTGAATTCAGCAGGACTTCCAAGTAAGTATATGCAGACTGAAGAGTGTGATAGAAATGCATGTTTGGGAAAAATTCCCTAGGCTTGGTAAGTGATGTTTCAGCAGTCTGTTCTTTATGACATTCCCTTCTTTATCAAAAGGACATAATTCTATCTTTTCATCTTTCACTTGATGTATTAAGAAGGAAGGAACTGGAGCGCGGTTTTGTATCGCCCAACAAATTCCACATCAAGAAAACCTATTTACTTTATCTACTTTTATCAGTTTCTGTTATTAAACTTCTGTGAATTGCCATGAACTGCATAATTCTTCTGGATGCAGTATTGTAGAAAATACAGATTTTTCAGGATAGATGTTTCATTCAGATATGTTTCAGAAGGGAGGAGAGGATATGTCTCAGCAGGCATTGCAGAAAGCACCATCGGCAACAAGAGAAACAGGAAAAACTGCAGAATAGCAGTAGGCACCTGGAAAGGTGTAAATTGCTAGGCTCCATTCACACAATATGCTGAGATAAAATACATTTGGCTAGTTAGCAGTGCAGTGTGTGGTGCAAACCCAGTTAGCGTGTTCAGTTTATGGCTTACCGTGTGGGCAATCCCAGGCAATTAGGTTAATTCAGTAAACCACTGAATTCATTAACCATGAATTAGCAGCCCTAGGTTTAGATTCAAATACCCTATTGTACAAGCATAATGCAATCTGAAGCATAATGTTAGTTTTTTTCTCTAAGACATATCCGCCATAAGATATTTCTGGAGGGCCCCACATTTGTCTGAAGCAAGTTTTGAGAAAGTAGTCCACGGCAGGAATTCTTCCTTTTTATCAGTGGCATTTTATGATCCAAGCTCTAATCCTTAATTTCTGCATTCTTCAATCGCATTATTATTTTGGTTCTGATGCTTTTAAAATAAGTTCCCCAATTTAGTAGGGATATGAAAAAAAAAAAGCATTGTGCTCCATAAACTATGTTGTCCCATTTTAGGTCAGATGAAACAATATTTGGAACACTTTGCCTGTTCTGGGTTTGGATGAATTGAAACATGTAACAGTTTCAAATGTTCTGGACATAGGAAACAGAGAGATTCAGAACAAGTTTTCTTGTCTGCAAAAATCAGGACTAGATTGGCAGCAGAAAACACAATACATTCTAAAACTGTGCTGCCATCTAGTGGTTTTGCAGGGTATTGCAGCCCAGCTCTAGTAGCCTTGGCCCTAACTTTCCCTGAACTTTTTTTTTTTTTTAATCTGCGCTCAGTCATTTCTGACCCTGCAGTGACTGCTTGGACGAGTCCTTTGCAGTTTTCAAGGCACTTGTTTCGGAAGTGGTTTGCCAGAGCCTCCTTCCTAGAGCAGAGCCCAGCTGGCAAGCACAAGAGGCGAGGCTTCCGTTGCTTCGCGCCCTTTTCGGGCGAGCGTGGTTTCGCGCTTACCGACAACCCCTCCCGACTCCTTTTTGCAAGGTGCCGCTAGCATTTTTCCTCCCACTGGAGTGAGAGTACCCATTTATCTACTCACGTGAGTTTTCAAAC